ATGTTTTATTTTCCAAATAGAAATATGGTTTTGGGGAGGAGCTTTGTGACGTCATATTTGAGGGGGGGGGGGTCTGACTTTTTGTGACGTCGTGTGACAAGGGGGGGGGGGGGTCAAAAATCGTCCAAAATCGCGTGACGTCATTTATGGACGGCCCCTAAGTGCTTAGGACGGGTGACCACCAGGCACCCGACGTTCGTCACAGGCTTGCTAGTCTACGTGGTGGGCGGCAGATGGGAACAGCGCAGCAAAACAAACCGTTGGACTGTACATCTATGCTCCCACGTGTACACAACTACCGGCAATGCCCCTTGCCTTCACCCAAGCTGCGGCGACGGCCAGCGAAGTTGAACCCTCCGGTTTAGATTTGAAGCTTTCGTGACTGCAAGGATTCATATTCTTAGGTTTTTTTCGGTAAAGTCACGTAGGTAAAAAAATAATTAAAAAATGTTTTACCTTCGTGATAAAAAAAATATTTTTTTTTTACTTACGTGACTTTACCGGAAAAAAACCTAAGAATTTTAACCGTCCGGTCACATAATTCCCACGGCCCCGCACGATGCCCCCCCTCATCCAACAGTGGATCGACTTTGCTGTGTGATTGTGGCTTTTCTGCTGTTCCCACATTGCACAAACGGTGGTGGTGGTGGGTGGTGATTTATTTATTTAGCGCACCCGGCATTGGCTCTTTGTTTTCTGATACCCGTGGGCTGTTGGGAAAGGCTGCAGCGGTGACTTTGTGAAACGCCACTTGTTGTGCAGCAGTAGCCCCATGGAGTGTGGGAGTGCAGAGGTCAGACGACTCCGCTCTCTCTGTGGGGGTTGTGCTTCTGGGAAACGATCAAAGTTTTGCATAAAGAGTTTCACACCGTGCGAGTGGAAGGAATACTATACAGACGTTATTAATGCACACGCCGTGTAGTCCACACACACACACACTGTGCAGCACACGCTCCATTAGCCTCAATGTAATAGCACCATGTCATCATACCTGTCAACCCCTTATCAGTGCCCCTACCTTATTACGGACCAATTCAACCCTTATTGGTCACCCTTTCATCCTAAAATGTCCCATCACAAGGCGAGATACAAACAGACAAAAACACATTTTTCCCGTATTGAAATGGCTGTACTCCATATGAACCTGAAAACTCAATTTCCCTGTACAAGAATACGGGTTGACAGGTATGCCATGTTCTTGGTTCTTTCGGTAAAGTCACGTAGAAGGGAAGTAATAAAATAAAAAAAATAATTCTCACGTTTCGGCCACAACGCAAGCAGCCGTCCTTGCGTTGTGGCCGAAACGTCGTGAGAATTATTTTATTATGTTTTATTTTTTATTATTTTATTACTTCCCTTCTACGTGACTTTACCAAAAGAACCAAGAAGATGAATCCCTGCAGTCACGAAAGCTTTAAATCGAAAAAAGGTATGCCATGTGCTTTACATTCGCTGTGATTTATATGCATTGTAACTTAAAAATATATAGCGACTAGCTTTACTACCCGGGACTTGGATTCACGACGCCCGGCCGCCTTTGTCTCCCCAGTGGCGATGTTCACACGCCACACCAGTTACTCGTTTGAGGCTGAGTCGACCTAGGGGAGGCCCAGGACCGGTTCAAATAATCGTCACTGGTGGTGGCCGTGAGCGAGAATCGAACTCGGGTCGCCGGGTTCATAGCGCAGCACACTAACCACTACACTACCGCTCCACCCACACACACACGCGCGTCCATAGGTACACATACACGCGCTTGCTGCAGACACACACAACTGTCAGGGTGCGTACGGCAGTAAACGACTGAAATAACGAAGCAGCAATGCTGCGCGAAGAACGCCTGAGAGCTGCAACACGTTTGTGTGGCACTTTACTCGCGGAGGGTTGGGGGGGGGGGTGACATGAGCAGCCACACTCCGTTACACTCCCGCATGCGGGTCACATGACAGATGTGACGTCACAGCTCACTTGCCGTGCAAAATAGATGCATTATTGCGCCCCCCCCCCCCTACCAAAAAAAAATATACAAAAGTCTATTTTTTATAATTTTTGCATAGTGCACATTCTGGAAAGTACCCACATGGCAAATTTCAAGTTTGTTGCATGTTGGGAAGTACGCTAAACAGACACACATATTTACAAATTTCTCTTTTATATACAGTATATAGATTTACACACCTGGTGTGTCACATGTTACACAATTGAGTGCGTTAATATATAGTCATTTATGATTCCACATCATTGTATGTTTACCGTGCCCTGTATATTACACGACCATTTATACTTCAGTATTGCCTTGCAGCAGTTTAGCCCAGTGGAATCTTACTTACAGACCACTCGAAGTCCATTCAGCAATCAAGACGAGAAAACCGGAGTAGGATAGTTTGGCAAATTTGGCCACATCTACTTTGTCACCTGACCCAAACATCTATGACAAAAAATAATATTGATCAGGAAAGCCTACATGTTAAATTGACTACAGTAAGTTTGTTTAGGCTTTGGTGGCTTGCTTCAAAAAACGTCCTGCTTGTAAATCTATTGCGGGATAACGGCCTCCCCATGGCTCTGTGAGCCGTGAGGGACAATTGACCATACTTTACCACGCTGGTCAGTGTGAGTTGGTGAAGGTGGTGGGAGTAAACAACAGCGCTTCCCTCTACTGCTAATGACGCCTACTACATCTGTGTTTTGCGCATGTGATCACCCACCCAAGTGATCACCCATCCATGTCATAATCTATCCATGTGATCATCAACCCATGTGATCACCCATCCTATGATCACCAACTCATGTGATCTCCCATTCATGTCATCACCAACCAATGTGATCACCAACCCATGTCATCACCCATCCATGTGATCACCCATCCATGTGATAATGTGATCACCCACCCATGTGATAACCTATCCATGTGATCATCAACCCATGTGATCACCCACCCATGTGATCACCCATCCTGTGATCATAAACCCATGTGATAACCCATCCATGTGATCACCAACCCATGTGATCACTTACCAGTGTGATCACCCATCCATGTGATCACCAACCCATGTGATCACCCATCCATATGATCACCCATCCATGTAATCACCCATCCATGTAATCACCCATCCATGTGTAATATAAAGATGCACCTGGGGGGTAACTGGGCCATAGTGATAGGCTCTGCCGGCCTCAGCCCGCAGCCAATGGGACGTCGAGCCAGGGGCGTAGCCTGTGGCTGCATGGCAACATCTGGAAGGTTCCAGGGGGTGAGGCTGATGATGGCTGCGTGGTATCACGTGGGCCAGGTGTTATAAGGGGTGGAGAGAGACAGCTCCGGGTCAGTGTGGTCTGTGTCACCGGCACGCCAGCGACCACCTTGCGGGCCGGAGGCTGTCTCCGACAAACACCGTCAACCAGCGGTGTGAGGGAGTGAGGAAGCGAGCGGACGCCACGCTCGGGGAACGGAGTAACGGGGAAAAGAGGAACCCAGCGTGTGAGGGAGCTGTGAATGAGGAACGAATAAAGGAAAGACAAAAGACACGGTCTCTCGTCTGGAGCGGATTTAGTACACATGCACTACCCAGCTTCAGCCCTGCTTAGGTTCTGAGATCTATGCATTTTGTGCGATTCCAAAAACTTAAATTTACGCTACCATATTAAATATATTTCTGTACAAATGACAATGCAATGTTTAACAATTCTGATATTGTGGATGTAATGGCAGTGACATTCTGTGTAGTGGCAAGGACGACGGTTACTATCAATTGGCATTGCCGGTTTCACTGAAACGCAACACGAATGATTCACGGTGAAACCTCAGCCAGGTGCCTTGCGTTTGATTGAGTTGCACGATTCGGTTACACTGCGGTCAAATTTGACTGCGGTCAAATATGACCACAGTTTTCTGTCATCGGGTGGTTTAATTACGAGCTGCCACCGTGTCTGCCAGCTCGGCGCACGCTTTATTGCGGTGTTCGCCCGCTTGTTTGTAAATGGATATAAGACACGGACAAATAAACCCTTGTGCTATCCCAATAGATAATCATTCCTACAATTATTTCGCTTGTAAGATTAGGTGATGGAGACTGGCTTTCTATATGTATTTTGTTTTGTGTGTTTTAATTAAAATGTTACGACTAAAAGAGCATTGGTCCAAACCACTTCATTAAGCACCTTGCTGACCAGAACCTCTTCACCTGCTCGGCTCCAGGCTCACTGCGCCTCCTCTGTCTATGACTGACTGCCGATCTAAATCTTTTTGTGAAGTCTTCAAGACCGCTTCTACCAAAATTACATCTTAGGATATTGGGAAGCCACTGGGGCTATGCACTTTTGCATCGAGGTTGAAAACTAATTTCTTGAGAGCTGCGTTTTGTGTTTAGGTTGTTGTCATTCCTCCGTACCTTTGATGAGCACGCTTGGCTACGTACGGTGTGAAAGAAGTTCAACATGTATGCACACAGATGCCCTTCTGGCCTTGTCATTAAATAAATATAACACTCCTCTTCAAACTCTGCAGATGAGCATACTTCTGTTTGTACCTCAACTTGAGATACCAGTTGCATTCAGACTCTTTAAAAGCACAAATTGTATGCTGTTGTATATCATGTCCTTGCTCGCCCCAGTGGTAAAATAGTCATCATCATTCATAACCAGTAATGCTCCAGTCGTGTACAAGGAAAAATGGTTGATCTTTTTGTTTATCCAAAAGTGTTATATTGAACAAACGATTCGGGTACACACAGAGGGCACGGCAATTGACACCAGTATAGATACAATGCGAAGTACTGTACGATGATTATTGCTAACGTTTTATATTTTGAACCTGTCTATGTGTTTCAATGAACTCTACATCCCTAGTGTCTACTTCCTTAACTCAGGCAACCCTCTCGCGGAAGGACAGGGGTGGTTCGGGGGGGGGGGGCAAAGGAGAAAGGGAGATGTGGGTGGGTGCCTAATTGGCCATATAAATGGTTGATCTTTGTGTGCGCGTGTGTGTGCGTACCATTTAGATCCACATTGTTCATTTCAACAAGGAAAAGTACAAATCGGCGGATGAAGCCACGAAAAAGGTGGATGGGCTGGCCGTGCTGGGAGTCCTCGTGGAGGTGAGTGGGCCTCTAGCGCACACTCCTGAGCCTCGCCGGGGATCAGAGTGCCCTCTCGGTGCCCTCTCGGTGCCCTCTCGATGCTCGCTCGTTGCTCCCTTGGCCCACGTCTGGCATTGCCGATCCGCGTGCCATTTTTGATGTACCGTCCCGTTTTTTGACCTTGCTGTGCCGTGTCCACTTCGAGCCTCCGATCAGATGTAAACATTTTCATATATTTGATACGTTTGCACCATGTACGGCGGTTGGCTACGTACGGTGCGAAACGAAAGAAGTTCAACACGCATTCAAGGCGCAAGCTACAATGTGGCAACTGGAGTGTGGTTGCCATCAAGGGGCCCACCACAACATGGCATACAGCGTGCTTGATGGAGCCGGTTTCCACTCGCCTACAGTTTACCTGCTTCACCAAAACGCTGCGCTTAAGCATTTGCCCGTGAGACGTATGATGTTATGAGCTCAATCAATATTTAGTTACATGTGGAGAGACGCATTGTTGTCTGCTTTTTATTGTTTACGTTACCCTTTGAACTCCCACGTTGGCGCGTAACGAGTTTGATGCACATCAAATTGCGACGCTCCATCAAGCGGTCAAAACCGCCGCCACATTAATTTCTTGAAACTGAGAGAATTGGCCACCTTATCCATAACCACCCCGCAATTGGCGGCCGCTTGAGTAAAGCCGTCCAGGTACGTCCACCCAATCGTAGACATTCCAGGTCATCGGGTGGATCCCTACCACCGATATGAAACGGCTTCGTGTGCACGCTAGCCGTGAGCCGCGGGTTCTTTGTTCACGAGAATTTCCTCTGGGCTGTATGATCACGCATCGCTTCGCCATCTCTCTTCGTGTCCCCAGCATTGGATTCATTTCACGCCCCCCTCGTCGGATGGCTCAAAAGGGTCGAGCCCTTTTTTGCCCTCATCGGAAACTTCTGTCGTTTCAACTCGCGTATCTGATTCGAACGTTCCCTGGCACAGCCATTCCCCCATTGCAGCATCCGATTACAGCAGACGTGCGAGCTTGGATGTGCATGACTTGCATATAACCTTTATTCATTTATTTATTCGCTCCCGGTAATGGGTACCCCGGCTCCATTGTACATTTGTCGTGTTTTATTTAAATGCGCGCAACCGTGATACCCATGACAGTTCTACGATGTGACTTTCAGGTTTGTGTACAATACTGCGCTGCAATTGTTATCATTGTCGTTAACCTGGATGCTGTTATTTATCATGTGTTTTTTTTGGGGGGGGGGGGGCTGTGGGGGGGGGGGGGCGTGCTGTGGGTCTCATCATTGTTTTTTGACCATTTTGCAGGTTGGACCAAGGGACAATGAGGTGTTTACGGTGTTCATGAAAGAGCTTGGGAAAGTGAAGTACAGCGGTGAGTGACGGCCACCGCTGTTTGGATGTTGAACTCGTCATTCCTCATTCCTCCACGTGCCCAGTTGTTGTGCTGCACTCGGTGGCAGCTGCGGCACCCACTCGCGATGTTCAGTTGGAGCTGAATGTTAACCGACGGGCAATTGCGGAGGGGTTCAGTCAGCGCCATTGGTAGAGGAATCTGTTCCTTCAATGGCACCGTGAGAAGGAGCTCACATCTCACGCTGGGGTGTGGTCCAGTTTTTTTTTACTGCATTTATCTAGATCTTTGTTTTTGTAATGCGACCGTCCCAGTGAATGTGGAACATTGGGCAAACGTTAGGTCAACATTGGTCCAACAGTCCCAAACCCATGGCAACATTTGCCCAACGCTGCATGTTTACTGAGGTTGTGACGTATCTGGGCACCATAGTGGCGAGATGTTAACTACCTCACCTGGTATACAGGAGGTCGTGGGTTCAATCTTGATCCTGACGTCTGTATATTTGTTGTTTGGATTTTTTTCCCGTGGTCGTGTCGATTTTTTCTCCGGGTCCTCCGGATTTTCTCTCCACATCTAGAATCAACATGCATTTCGAGTATATTTCTACTGTAAATTTCCACGTGATAAGCCACTTCGTTGCGCTATCATTTGTGGCCAGGCCGCTTCTGAAATAGAGCTATATAGCTCAATGGGCCTTACCTGGTAAAATAATCATAGTTTTTTAGTTTTAGCTTAATAATATCTCTGTGAAGGGACATGTCCGTATGCCGTTACCAGTGTCCCTATGCTGTAAACGGGATTTTGTCCTCCAGTGTTCTGTTCTGGATAAACATTTAAAATAAACACACATGAAATGTATCGATTTACAACTCAAACACACAAAAACTCCACCACACCCATCCCAGTACTGTTCTTACCAAAGCCGCATCAATCCCGGACCACATGGTCCATGCTGTAGCTGAACTGGCAACAGCAGCAAAACTCATTATGTATGTTGATGAACTGTGAATAACCTAACCAATAATAGGTATTGCATATTCTCAGATGAACATGATCTACTTTAACTTATATGACTTCATGACCCCCCCCCCCCCCCTCTGATCTTCACACCTGATAGGCCCACAGTGATGACATCACATTTATTCCCTCTATTTAAGACCGAAACATCACTTATTCACAATTCTGGCTATCGCCTGATGATGCTAGTTGTAGTCAACGGCGAAACGTCGAACTCGAATTGTAAATGTTGTGGGTTTACTCTCCAACACACCGGTGTGCTGAAGAAGTAACGAATTGGCACGTTGAGTTTACGTGACAAACCTTCCTAGTTGGCTCCGTTGGGTGGTGGCGGGTTTACCGACACATTTATATTTACACAATCTAACCCAAAAAAACCTTTATTATGGAAAATCATACCTCCTCCCGCTCCACGTAAACACCAGCAGATCACCATATACGTAGGGACTGTGCATCGTTCTCCCGTGAATTGAATTACGATCTCTCTCTCTCTCTCTCTTCATTTGATCTCCATTAGACATTGGCCAGATGAAATGTTCGGTGTTGAAACTCTTAAGTGGGTTGCAGTTGGGTTTCATTGCCTAGACTCGCACTGTCGTTGGGAGGCATTTAAGGACAACCCTTTTGTCGCTCCGTTTATGCACATATTTATTTGTGTAATGATTACACATTCTGTGCAGGCCATGGCTTTGTGGGTCTTGAAAAAAACACTCGCTATTTTTCAGTCTTCTTTTTACGGCTCGTAAAAACTCAACGCTTTTGCTGTTGTTTTAAAGAAAGAAAAGAAAGATTGTCACAGTTGATGGAGACAATACAATTTCACTCCCCAGAGCTAAAACCACGTCTGTTGGGCTGTTTCTCAAAACCGTCAGGGCCTTCGCAGAAACTGGCTCTTTTTTTTTTTAACTAAGCGAATCACACCGACGAATCGAGTTCCATCTCCCGGTGTACCCAGGCTTCCCGCTGTTCCTTGTGATGCACAGATTCCTCTTCTCAATGAGACCCATTATTCACTGCAGTCATTCACAAACGCCAGGTGGCTATTTTGAACAATGCGGCGATGCAATGCGTTGACCCCTCTGGAGCATTGTGCCGAGCAAACTCGGCGGTGTCAAAAGCGTTACGGGGGGCGGATGAGGGTACCTCCGATTTGCCCTTAAAAAATTAACGTGCACGGTTGAACTGAAGATTGATGTACCGGACACAGCAAGGACTGTCGTGAAAAATACTACCGCAGCCAATCAAAATCATTCGTTACGGGGCCCATGGGATTGCTTGTATGGTGATGATTGGGAAAAATGGTACAGACACGAGTAGACTTAGGATTAAGGTTAGAGCTACTGATGAATTGACTTTTAATGCATTTTTTAATCGCATTGCTATTTGGGATGTAACAGGAGGAGGAGAGGGAGGGGGGAGCTTTGTCTAACGATGCAGTGGGAAACTTCTGTGAGGAGTGTTCACTGCTGATGAAAGCACTGTCGATCTGTTGTTGAACAGTGAGCGGAAATGACACCACCTAGCACGGCCCGGCTTGGGAATCGGGTATCACTGGGTCTGCTGTGTCTCTCCCACACGTTCCTCAACCATCCCCTCTGACAGACGCTCTGCATTTGTGCACGGAACGATTTCTTCAGTGTGTTTAATGCCGTCATGTTTTAATAGCTCAGTGCAATATTGAGAAAGTTCAAGAGGAGACTTGTCTGATACAAGTTTTCCTGCTAGGGTACCCAGCCATATTCATTAGAATCCTAGGTTCCACCCCCAATTTACCCAGGTCAGTGAGTTTACATGGTCTCACCCCATTTGTCAATTACTGTAAAACAAATATCCGTCTTGTAGATACATACCTAGGCTGTGTGTAGAGGCTGTCCAACAAGAGTATCGAAGCTTTGTTCACGAGAATAAAGTGTTTACCGGAGTGGAGGAGAAGGCACTGGAACAGGGAGGAGTGGTGTAGAAAAAGCAGAAGAAGGGGTACGTTGACGATCGCGAACAGTCGAGGATTCCTGCTGCTGCTGCTGGAGGTTTGTGGACCCACTGGTCTCTGTAAAGTGGCTGGACATGAAGAGAGAGAGGAGAGAGATGATGATGTCGTGATGTGTGCAGGCGAGTGGTGAGGCTGCCCACTTCTCTTTTAACGCGGTAGATGCGTTGTTGAAAAGTGACGCTTTCAGCGAAAAACGCGCTAAGCGAAAGCAGTTCTCCTATAAATGATATAACATTAAAGTTTAGCGAGATACGATGTACACGCACGCACAGTTTGATCGCGGGACAAATAGCTGAGGGTACGCCACCATGTGTTACTGTATCATTTGGCATCCTGTATCTTACCACTCATCCACGCAGCTCAAGAAAGAAAATAGTTAATCGTCAACTGCTTGGAAACCACATTAGAACGGCTGTTATAACAGGCGCGTTCTGAATTGTGTGGAAAGAATTCCTGAATGAAAGAACCTCGTTATAGCGAAAACGCGTTGTGTGAACACCGTGCGTTTAGCGAGGACTTTCCGCACAATCACAATTTGTGGTCAGCTGCTCCATTTACAGCTCTTTAAACGTGTAGAGTAATTGCATTGTTGTTATATTGAAATCCATGGCAGTGATGTCGCAGTAACGCAGCGGTTAGCAAACCTCCAGCGGCGGCAGGAATCCCAGACTATTGGGCGATTGTCAACGTATCCCTTCTGTGCAAAGTACTAACCGCTGCTTTACCGCTCCACCCTTTTTAATCACAGTTACCGATCACAGAACCAGAGCTCAAAATGTCAAGCGGCCAGCAACCAACAACCCCCCATCGACAAGACAGGATATATCTGTTTGGGATTTTAACCTTCCTTTCATTCTGACATTGTTGATGGCTCAATTGAGACCTTGCAAACTCAACTGTCCTTGCCAAAACAATAGACTGTGAAACCCACCCGATCGTCACTCCGTACCCATACAGGAACTCGGTTGGCACCGGTGCCAACAGTCTGCCATTCTTCTATTGATGATCACCCACGTGCCTCTTCCCTCTTCCCCACTCGCGTCTGCAGGCCAGCAGACAGTGGTGCAGGCATTCAGCATCCTGAGCCTCCTGCCCAAAGAGCTCGGTCACTTCTTCCGCTACAACGGCTCCCTGACGACGCCGGGATGCGACGAGACTGTCACGTGGACGCTGCTGCACAAACCCATCGAGGTGTCGGTGGCACAGGTGGGCAGACCCCCCCCCCCCCGCCCGCCATCACCTGCACACGTCACGACATCACCATCTCTCTCCTCTCTCTCTTCATGTCCATCCACTTTACGGAGACCAGTAGGTCCACAAACCTCCAGCAGCAGCAGCAGCAGGAATCCGAGACTATTGGGCGATCGTCAACGTATCCCTTCTGCTGCTTCTTCTGCGTCACTCCTCTCCGTTCCAGTGCCTCCTCCTCCTCCTACACTCCGTCCGTTCGTCGTTTTCTCAGTTGGCTGCTGCCTCGGTTAACTTCTACGACCGGCGGGATGTTAACTCCCTCTGCCGGGTATGCAGGAGGTCGTGGGTTTGATCCCGACCCTGACGCCTGCTGCTGTATATTTGGAGTTTGCATGTTCTCTCTCCCCGTGCTCGTGTGGATTTTACTCCGGGTCCTCCGGTTTTTCCCTCCACATTTAGAAACATGCTTTTAGTGTATTTGGCTGCTATAAATTTGCACGTGATAAGCCACTTCGTTGAGCTGTCATTTATGACCAGATTGATTCTGAAAAAAAGCTCCACAGCTTTTAATGGGCCTTTTTACAGTTTAGCTTCGAGTGTTGCTGTTGATTTTGCTGTATTCCTGTTTGGGAGCATTCTTCTGACGTGACCTAACCATAGCAGTCTTCATTCCTTAATTCTTTTCATTATTTGTACATTTTCATCATCAAGTTCTCACTTGATTTTTTGTCTTGATTTCTTATTCCTGATTTCTTGTCTTGATTTCTTATTCTATCAAACCTTCTTACTGTGAGTGGTTTTCATGAGTATGTTATTTCTATAACTATCAGCGTATTGTTACATTCTTGTTTCGTTTGCGTCTAAGTTTATCATAATACTTAAACACAATACTACTGTTATTAGCGCAGTCTCTCCAGTTCTCACTTGGTTAAACAAATAAACATATTGGTCACTGTGAGGGTTCATGGCAATGGGCCCATGTGTACTCCGCAAACTCAACGGAAGCATCGAAGCACATAAACTGAAATAATACCCCGGCTAACTAATACGGAAATGGACTTGTACGTTGCCATTCATCCATCTGCAAGCAAGAGCAATGGAGGGTGGTGGTATTATTGTTATGAAAGAAGACACACAAGACAGACGGATGGAGTGGGCTGTGTAACTGCAGAGTGATCTCGAGTTTTGGCTTTCCTCACAGTTGACCACGCTGACCACCGGCCTCGCGTTCACGGAGGCATCGGCCCCCGTGGCCTCTACGATGGAGAACAACTTCCGCTTTCCGCAGCCCCTGGGCCAGAGGAAGATCCTCACCTCCTTCCCTCTGCCAAGTCAGAGTAAGGAACTTCACAAACACAACGTCCAAGTGCGGTCTTCCGGCGTTATTTTTTGCGAGACTCGCTTCAACTCTGGAAGATGCCTGCAGTCGTGCGTGAAGAAAACTTGCGGGAATAAATTCCCAGGGCGAGGCCTAACCCGAAACACCACGACACATGGATTTTGAGTGGCTGTGAAAACCTACGTGCTAAATTGCCCACGCGCAATGGCGCAGCCTGTGGGTGTGAGTAATGGCTACCGCCTAGAATTGACCACAACCGGTGCAGTTTGCCAACACTAACTTCAAGGTGGAGACAGTGGTGGCCGGTCGTGGTACTGGCCTTAATGCCCCTGTGTGTGCTGTGTGGCCTGTTCAGTTTCCACATTGTAGCTTTATCAATTATTTGAGAATTGCAATATAAAACGCAATACAGTTCGGAATTATGGAGTGCCCTAAATGTGACCGCATCTCAAGACACTCCATGACTAAGGGGAACATGTCTGTTCTGAATGTTTGAAGGTGAGTTTCGTTGAGCAGGAAGTGTGGGCTCAAACGCCACGGAGTGTGAAAGAGAGACGTTCATGTGTAGAAGCAGACGATCTTGAGCCACGAAGACATTCAAATTATCTCTCTTGGCCACGCCAATGTGCGAATGTGTTGCACCAATGCTCGTGCCTCAGGCGAGTTTTACATTTGACAACAACTATTTTGTTACCTTTAATTTAGTTTTTCTTTGTAATCTTCATTATCGCTGATGGTTGAGTTTTGCAGCATCTTGAGATGTTCCTGCATTGCAAGGCTTTTATTGTTACATTATTATGCTACCCTTAGGCTCACAGAACAAACGGTATGTACTAAACAAGACAGAACATATCAGGCGAAGATATCAACACGTTAGTCCAAAGCACTGGACAGCGGCACAACACAATTTGTTTAATTTAGACAACGTACTAGACAGAGAATCGAGACGGCATAAAGAAGACAAAGTAATAATCGATTATTGGATGGAAAAAGTGGCCCCGAATCGTGATAGTCCTGTTGTTTATTTGGTAAGGCATTTATCATCATAAACATTTTAAGAAAATCAGGGTACTCCAGTATTTTAAGATATGTTGTCAACATTACATTGGTGTGGGGGGCCCCGTGGTAGCAGGGATACGAATCATGAGCTGATTGGTGGCTTAAATCATAATATCGGCTCTTCCCAACTGTGTTACTCCCACAAAGCCACGCTTTCCATTCCAGTCCACGACGCCCATCATCTCATGAGTTCATCATTCGTTCCGAGATGTCACAATTGAGCAACGAATAAGGGGGAATTACCTTGGGTTAACGTGAGCCCTCTGAGGCCCACGCCCTAAATGGTCACCTGAATTTCTAAGTCACTGATGTACAGTGAACACGTGAGGAGTGATGCCGTTTTTCTGTAAAGTTGTGCTGCGGAACTAAGCATTTGTGTTGGTGCTCAATTTGACCGTCACAAATGTCAGATTGATAACACTGGTCAACAAAAAAAACTCTTTTTTTTCTGGCCTGGATTTTTGCAGCTGTTTTAGACTAATTTCAGGGTGCTGATTCCAAATCTGATCTCAGATTTGCTCTATCACATCTCATTTTATGCTATCGGCATACCCCATTTGCATTGATTTTACCCAAAATTAACTCTGTCACTTATGATTGCAACTTGTTGCGAGTCAGTGACTGCTTTAGTGTTAAAATATGGTGCTGTATTTTTAGGATAGTGTGTTTATAATATAATTTTATGTAGATATCCACATTTATTTAATATTTTTTTTCTGCAGTTTGTATTGAAAATGCAATATTTCATATCTAAAAAACCTGATGTGATAGACAAAAACTGATGCGAGATTTGGAATCAGCACCCCAAAATTACATTAAAATCGTTGGAATACCTTATGCCAGAAAAAGTGTGTTGACCAGTGTAATGATCATGTGACGAACATTACTCTCTGTAGCAGTGTGCGTGGAAAGGTGTCGTCCCGTCGATCGGTGTTCACTTTGAAGGGATCTCAGAAGTAATTCTCTTACATCCGTTTTCTGAGCAATTCTCTGACACGATTGGTGGGACTGCTCTGCAAGAGATCTGAATGGATTCTTCATCTAATGCCATGACACTGATAGCCCAATTGGGATACAACTGGGGAGAGAAATACAACTAGAAAAATAACTTGTGCTGGTTTTTCCCCTTTTTTCTGGCAACAAAACAGGTGTTAAGATGTTAAAACACCAAACTGAAACCTTTTACAAGGAATCATGTCTGCATTAACCACAGAATGCAAACAAAAAGCATACTCTGATAATATATATTGTTGCCAGAAAAAAGGGGAAAAACCTATTATTATATTTTGGTACTGGCAAAGGAGGTCCTATGATGACTTGTGCTGTTGAGGCATGGAGGTCTTATATTATACTATAGACTAAAGTAACTGTATACTTAAGCCGCAAGCCAAAGTGTTGTGTATATAATGGTACTTATATATATTGGTTTATGCTGGGCAGTTGTAGTGTAGTGGCAAATGTCCATGCTGAAGGCCTGTTAATGGCATTTCTGGGCCAGTATAAACACATTTGCCCTCCTGCCTTGCCCATCATCTTTGTAACTGATGTTTGCGAGTTGCGACAGGCCTTGTCCCAGATTCATCTCTGAACCTGTAAGTTGCATTAAATCAAGAACAGGCAAGCGAGTTGGCTGTAGTGAATGTCGACAAAGAATTCTGTGAAGTCACAGAATTACATACATAGTGTCTGGCCAACGTTCCATTCACATTAATTCGTCGGTTACCTTGTTAACTTGACGTGCGTTTTATACTTTTGTGCAAACGCATCACTGCTGCCTTTCTGTTACCATGGTCTCTTGAGATTCCTCTGCAAAGCTGAGATGCAGTCTCTCTCTCTCTCTCCCTCTCTAAACGTTGACCCAAAAGAACCCCGTAATTTCCCAGCCAAACTCGTGCTCTCTGTCCTGCCTTGCGGCCCTTTGTAACTTGTTCACGTTTGATCGGCCTCCCGTGTGGATGCTGGGTGAGCAAAGACGACTCTCGTGGTTGTCAGTGGACAATGTTCTGCCCGTTGAAAAAGTTTATGATTTATTTCGCCATTCCTCCCCCCCTAACTTACACGCAGTGAGGGTTCTAAGTGGCAGGGCTAGTGTTGATTTAATTTTAACGTTCCAATATTTGATTTCACTCACAAAGGATAAGTTCAGCTTTTGCCTAAGTTGCTTTGCCCCGGGTCACCTTTATTCCCTAAAGCACATAAATACAACAACAAACTTTACTGAACACAACCAGTGTTTGCTTGAATAGCGGTGGGAATGTTAATGAGATTGGGGCACCCGGGGACAAAGAGATGAGAGTTGTGACCCCCTTGTTAGCGCTCACTCGGATCAATGCACACTTTATATAAACATTGACGATGGTGATGCTGCAGATGTCTGTGGTACACAAGGACAAGTCACACAAAAAGACTCTACACAAATCAGCACATTCATCAGTGAGTTATATATATTCCCCCCCTTTAAGGCAGCAGTGTTATTGATGAATGTGTTGGGGTTTGTGTTGATAATTAACGCTGTATTGTACACATTCCTGGAACCAGGCAACCACTCTCTCAGGCGAGTAAGTTTAAATAAAGTTGTTGGCTTACACTGTGTAACAATTTTTATTTGTCCTGGGTAGTTAGTGTAATTTCCTAATTGCTAATGCCTCAAAAGTACAGAAAATGGTTATTATGTCCCCACAAACTTTGCTTTTGTGACCAGGACAGTGATATTTTGAAATTTACCTATTTTGTGTCTTTTCGTCAGAAACTAACAACATATGAATCAAAATGAACATGTATTTATACTAAAGTAATACAATAATGACAATTTTCTCTACTTTTTAGACATAAGCAATTACGAAATAACACTTACTACCCAGGAACAAAAATTGTGTTACACAGTGTTATTGGAATGCGAGTGGCATCTACGCCACGATTGTGCAAACACGAAGATGGAGAGCAAGAAAACGATGCTATTACAGGACCTCTTGAATTTCTAAAGAGACGTGTGAAATGGCGTTTGAATTGGCTTTCCTTTGTGTGAGACTTTTCGGTTTGCACCTTGTGTTGCTCGGCACGACGTTTGATGTTTTCTCCACATTCTGAGAGTTTCAGAATCTGACGCCCCGAAACTTAGTTTGACCTCTGAGTCTATTAACACTTGCCCCTGTGAGACTGAGCGCTTAGGAGCCTTAACGTCGGACATCATCCCGAACAACGGGTGGCACGACCCGAAAACCCATCAGAGCGCTGTACAGCGCAAGCGTGAAAAGCTTACGCGGTGGTTCAAACGAAAGAGACGCTTGCATTTGGAGGAGGAACCTGCTTGTGTGTGCTCAACTTTCAAGCTGAAGCCACCGTACAGTAGTTTGTGAAGCCAACGATTTAGTTTCTTTATGGGTCTCGGGGGCAAGGCGAGCAAATATGAAATCATGTGTGCGTATAATTTAATGTGCGCCGTCTGTTAATCTAATCCCTGGCCTTGGTCTGCGCCCAGTAAATAAAACACGGAGCCTCTGTTCTCGCATACGTGGCTGGCAGCGGTGCCGTTACCCTTGAATAACCCAACTGTCGAGGAGTGATTCCAGCCACCGTGAAAAACGAGAGCCCCCCTCACGTAGCCCAGTGGACACCGCCCCGGCGGGACGTCTTCTCTCGCTCCGATCGCCCAGATTCTTTAAATGCAAATTCTCCTCACCCGGATTTTCACGAAGTAGGAAAAAATAACTAAAGCCTCTACAGCTATTTTATCAATCCACTGCTGGATGATGGCCTCCCCACGGCGTTCCTGCCATGGGGGTTATTTGACCATGTTTCAACACGCTGGTCAATGTGCAGCAATGGATTTGCAGCATGGCCCTCTTTTGCCTACAACATAGTCCTACAGTTGCCTATAACACCTGTTTAGTATGGTGGTCGCTCCTCCAAGTACTCGTCTGGTGCAAAAAACTGGCTTAG